TATTTGTTCTAGATCATTATACATCATTTGTTTGGTGGTTTTAGAAATAAAGGTAATATGATAATGTGTGTGTGTGTTAGTGAATGAGTGAGTGACTGAGTGACTTGTGCATGTGGGTGCATGTGTCTTTTAAAAAATATAAACAAATGATAAAAAATGAATGAACTGATATTAGTGTGAAAGTTGTTGGTTTGTCAATGGTCTGTAATATTATCTATCGTCCTATTATATTATCTATTATTATCTATTAATATTACCTATCATCCTGAGAGCAAAGCTTATGAAGAATATCAGATGCTGCAGACATCACTGTTTTCAGCAGTTTTTGTTATTGTACATGTAATTGTGTAAAATGTGTGTACAGTGAGCTTACAGGAGGGAATACAGACCAGGAATACATAAACATGTTGTCGGAGGCTGCCTGTGAAAGCATATGTGAGTGATGCGGAGTTATTCATGCTTGTTTTTATCTTTAAATAGGAGACTATTTCGGCATCCTCATGGATCAGAAGGTGACCAGCTTCCCGTTTAATGTGACGGAGAACCCCATGTACTGGGGCAGCACCGCAAACTACCTGGGCTTGGCCTTAATGTGAGTCCATTCATAATCCGATTCATTCCTAGTGAAAATATTTCTATTTGCAATTTTTTTTTTTTTACTGTTGGAATCATTTTGTTGGCTATTATCGTATGTCGGCATCATTTAAGTGAAAATTCAAATTGATAAACAATTTCAGGATGTTCTCTTGTATGATTTGAGAATGATGTCACATATTATTTGATTGGTGACATAGAAATATTATATTATTATATAAATCTAATATAATATTTCTTTACGTCTGCATGAAATGGAAATTTACAACATCTATTTTCTAAATGTATATTATCGATATTATTACGAAAAATTTCATCCAATGCATTTTTTTCTGGTAGTTTTAAAAGTGCCCCTATTATGTTTTAATGAATGTATCCTTTCATGTAGAGTGTAATAAACACTCCCTCCAGAAAAACGCAATCATATGATTTAGTGTGTAATCAGCCAAAGTCTGCATATTTATGCGTGGATGTTTTTTCAAATACGCTGCACTTTTGCCGCATAAATTAACGTTTTCCGTGCAAAATATGTGGGGGTTGCATGATTTCATAATCCTCGCATTTTCGTAGCAAAAAAGTCACATATATTTTAGCAGAAAGTTGCGTTTGCTTCACACAAGAGCCGCTGCTTGCCCCTGTTGCCATGGGAACGTTATGAAGTGATGGAACCTGTTGCCATTGGAACGTTACGAAGTGACGTAACCTGTTGCCGTAGGAACGTTATGAAGTGACATAACCTGTTGCCATGGGAACATTATGAGGTACACGTAACCTGTTGCCATGGGAACATTATGAAGTACACGTAACCTGTTGCCATGGGAATGTTACGAAGTTATGTAACCTGTTGCCATGGGAACGTTTTGAAGTGACGTAACCCGTTGCCATGGGAACGTTATGAAGTGACGTAACCTGTTGCCATGGGTACGTTACGAAGTGACGTAATCTGTTACAAGGGAACGTCATGAAGTGACGGAACCTGTTGCCATTGGAACGTTACGAAGTGACGTAACCTGTTGCCGTAGGAACGTTATGAAGTGACATAACCTGTTGCCATGGGAACGTTATGAAGTGACATAACCTGTTGCCATGGGAACATTATGAAGTACACGTAACCTGTTGCCATGGGAATGTTACGAAGTTATGTAACCTGTTGCCATGGGAACGTTTTGAAGTGACGTAACCCGTTGCCATGGGAACGTTATGAAGTGACGTAACCTGTTGCCATGGGAACGTTACGAAGTGACGTAACCTGTTGCCATGGGTACGTTATGAAGTGACGTAACCTGTTGCCATGGGAACGTTACGAAGCGATGTAACCTGTTGCCATTGGAACGTTATGAAGGGACGTAACCTGTTGCCATGGGAACGTTACGAAGTGACATAACCTGTTGCCATGGGAACGTTACGAAGTGACGTAACCTGTTGACTTGGGAACGATATGAAGTGACGTAACCTGTTGCCATGGGAACGTTATGAAGTGACGTAACCTGTTGCCATGGGAACGTTACGAAGTGACGTAATTACGCGACATGAACATCATCGAAACGCTGTAAAACAAGAGCAAACTTAATTTTTTTTTACATTTTTACAGAATTTGTAGCATATTCCTTTTGTAAAGCTACAGAAGTTGTTTGACTCATCAATGTTTTGTAAGTTTGATGTGTTTACTAAGGTCTGAAATAAACAAGATGAGAACTGAAATTTTCCAGCACTGTCTGTGATGTATATGTTTGCGTATCATAAGTAATAAGAAATGACTCTTCACATTAAGGCAGGAGTCTAGTGAGAACAGGGTGTTGGAGAATCACTTTTCTCTTTTTCATCAAACCACAGTCTTTGCAAGTTCCCGCAATTTCATCGCATAAAATTGCATAAATATCCCGCATATTCCATCGCATTTTTAAAGAAAACAGGACACATAATCAAGGATTTTCACCCGCAACAATCACAAAAAAACTGTGTAAGGACTGAATAAAGCAGTCTGTTAATGTAAAAGATCTGCAAAGTTTCAAAAATTGCAGATCAATGAAGTTATTGCCTGCCAACTGTTTAATCAAACCGCACAAAATAATCATAAATGTTTCTTGAGCATCAGATCATCTTATTAGAGTTACTGTATTTCTGAAGGATCTTCAACACTGGAGTAATGATCCTGAAGATTGAGCTTTGATCACAGGAATAAAACAAATATAAAATACATTAACTCAAAAAAGTGTAATAATTCCAAACTTTTGCCCAGTACTGTCATGTACACATCAACACAAACCCCACGACTCCAGCAGTCGCATTCGTCCGAGTTCAGCACTAAACAAGAGTCTGCTAATCAGCTGTCATTGGATCATGGCGAGACATTGGGCTCGTGCTGCTCTCCACATGTGTGTTTCTGCACTTCTAAACATCGAGCTTGTTAATAAAGCACACTCCGCTCCCCAAATCCCCAGAACAGCACCTCTATCCCTCCACGATCCCATCACATCTGTGTTATTAGGCTCTGTTTGAGCAATGCTGATGTTATTTGCACTAATAGATTTCTCAGGAGCTTCTGCTGCTATTCCTGGCTACTCGCACGCCTTTATAACAGACGCCTGTGAACGTCTGTCAGAGGTTTATTAAACTCACTATTGCCAAACAAAAAAGCTGAAAGAGCCTCCCGCTGAGGAAGCAATTTGTGCAATTTGAACACGACTTAAAATGATGCAAGAATCAGGATTATTTTATACCAAACATATGCATTTAGATGTACGTCATTTGGTAGCAGCGTGGCAGCTTTTACTGGACACTTTACAACAGCGCCGGCCGTCCTGAAACACTTATTGTGTCTTTGCCATTATAAAAGGCATGAAGGTTGTGCCAAAATGGCAAAATTAGGAGTGCTTTTGTAGCATTGTTTCTGTGTATGTCTAGTATTGCATCTGGGTTGTTCAGAATGTAATTTAGAATGCTGTTTAAGTTCAGTTTGGAAATATAAGTAAAGTTAATTAACATTCAACTAAATCCATAACTGTAATTTTTAGATTTAAAATAGTTCTAGATAGATAGATAGATAGATGGATGGATGGATGGATGGATGGATGGATAAATGGATATGGATGGAGGATAGATAGGTAGATAGACAGACAGACAGACAGACAGATAGATAGATAGATAGATAGATAGATAGATGGATGGATGGATGGATGGATGGATGGATGGATGGATGGATGGATGGATAGATGGATATGGATAGATATGGATGGATATGGATGGAGGATAGATAGGTAGATAGATAGATAGATAGATAGATAGATAGATAGATAGATAGATAGATAGATAGATAGATAGATAGATAGATAGATAGATAGATAGATGGATAGATATGGATGGATATGGATGGAGGATATATAGGTAGATAGACAGACAGATAGACAGACAGATAGATAGATAGATAGATAGATAGATAGATAGATAGATAGATAGATAGATAGATAGATAGATAGATAGATAGATAGATAGATACATAGATGGATAGATGGATAGATGGATATGGATAGATATGGATGGATATGGATGGAGGATATATAGGTAGATAGACAGACAGACAGACAGATAGATAGATAGATAGATAGATAGATAGATAGATAGATAGATAGATGGATATGGATAGATATGGATGGAGGATAGATAGGTAGATAGACAGACATACAGACAGACAGACAGATAGATAGATAGATAGATAGATAGATAGATAGATAGATAGATAGATAGATAGATAGATAGATAGATAGATGGATGGATGGATGGATGGATGGATGGATGGATATGGATGGAGGATAGATAGGTAGATAGACAGACAGACAGATAGATAGATAGATAGATAGATAGATAGATAGATAGATAGATAGATAGATAGATAGATGGATGGATGGATGGATGGATGGATGGATGGATGGATGGATGGATGGATGGATGGATGGATGGATGGATGGATAGATAGATAGATAGATGGATAGATGGAGGACGGATGGATAGACAGACAGAAGCTGCTTGAGGCCTGAACATTTACTGCATGTATTTGGCTGTGGAGACTTTAAATCATGTGTGTGGTCACCATGACAACAGCGACCCGGCTTGTTTGGTTGGCAAGCGGCGATGGAGCAAATGCTCTCCTAAACTCTGAACCTCCTCACTGTTCACAGGCTCTCAGTCTGTGTCTGTTGTTTCTGAAATCGATGGAGTCCAGCGCGGCCCCTGACCATGTGTGTGTGCGTCACACACCCCAGGGATGAAAGAGACTGACAAACACACGTGGAGAGAGAGAGAGAGAGATCTGGGCACGTGTCGCCCCCTTGACCCTCACACACTTGTGCCAGCTTCAGTCTGGACGTTTATACACACTACGTCATGCCGTGAATCATCACACCACCAGCGTGGCAGCATGTGTGTGTAAAGGTTAATCGGTCAGATTGTGAATTTGTCTATTTGCAAATGCATGCTCAATGACCAAGACTGTAATCTTTTTGAATGCTTATTGATAGTATGCATGATTGTATGGTCACGTGTAAACTATAGCATTGCGCATCATGTATAAAGTTGATATTGATATTTTAAGTTGATATCACTCAGCTCTTTATATAAAGTTGCATGAAGTTTATCCGCCTATGTAAAGCGTCATGGAAAGCGTTCCCATGATTAAGTCACCATTATGATGATCAGTGTTTGCTTTGGATTTTTACGATTTTATGATTTGTGATTAGGTGTTGTTGGTTATAAATTTTCGACACAACACATTTTTATTTCACGCTGAATCATGATCTCATTTAGAGTCTAATCTGAGTTAGATTTGCGTTATTGATTACGGCAGTCATGCGATTCTAAACAATATTAAACATTATCAGAGGAATCTTTAAAAGTTCTCCCAAAAAACTTGTGTTAGTTTACAAACTATGCACTGTGGTAAATCTGTTTTGAGCTCATAATATAGTATTGTGCAAGGAACCGCATGAACATGTGCCTTTATCC